ACAAAGAAGGCAAAGCAGTGCAGTGTTTAATGGATTCGCCGTCATCTCTTTAAGCCTCTTTTCATTCTGTATTTTATCCAATAGCTTTTCGGCCAAATCTTCCTTACCGGCAAAATATTTGTGAATATATTCTTTGCTATCTTGATAAGTGAAACCTTCCATCTCTAGCAGAGTGTCACAAACCTTTCTCATAGGTATCCCTGCCTCGTGTCGCGCTGTAACCACAAGGTGACATTGAGGAAGCATTTTACCTTGTATGAGGTCTGTAAAGTCCGTCAGTTTGCTCGAGGGTAACTCGTCTAATCCGTCAAGTATCAGTAAAACCTTTGATTGATTTTGCTGGATGAACTCAAAGAATTTCTCTCTTTCCTTTCGTTGAATTTCACTTGGTAAAAGCTGATCGTCAATGGCTTCCCAAAGGTCGAACTCGATCTCGACATCACGGCATCTCAGCAAGAGCACCATCTCAAATTCCGGACAGCAATCTCCTTCTTTTTTATGTTTATAGCCCAGTCGTAAGCAACCTTATTGCAGTATGTCGTCTTTCCCATGCCTGGCATTCCTTCAATCAACACTTTTCTAGGTTGTTTGCATTCTTCGTGGGGATTGAAGATTTCAGTCGTTTCAACAACTCTTTGCTCTGCTGTTGCTCTCGCTTTTTTCTCTCTGTTGACCATACGAAGCCGTGTATAAATATCGCTTAGTTGGAACTGAAAGTCTTCGCACCAAGGAAAGGGTGCGAGCCATCCCTCATGACGTTTGTACTTCTGGCGAATGATTTCAATATGGTCGACAACCAAATCAACTGTTGAGAATAAATGAGAACCAAGCTTTGTTGTAGATATTATTTTGTTTAAAATTGGTAGCTAGTTTCCAAGTCCCTCAAACAAATAAATTGAACTACAGGTATAACAAAGCCTGGAAAAGGCGATTGCTAGACAAAACTTAGCTTTTATTAATTATCTCCTTTAGCCAACGTGCTAGGCCTCGAAAGCAAGCGTAAAACATTCCAAACTAGTGGTGGGGGTGGCGGGGAGGGAGGGGGGAGCTTCAATAAGGGCAAAGGTTAGCAGACCACTGAAAATTGCGAAAAGCAGGGAAAAAGGACTACTGTTTATGAACTTTAGGTTAGGGTGTTTGAGGACTCACGGTCACCTATAACCTCCATCTATTTTTTCAACGGTTTTTGGGACGAGCCCGGGAGCGTCACCTGTGAGACAAACGATCACCGATCGATCAGTAATACTTGCCTTTAACAGTTCTTTTAGACGGATACTTTAAATTTCTAGCGGGCTACAGTTTGGGGAAACTGACCTTCCTCTTTGGGCGCAGAGACCGAAGTCTTCAGCATCTCATTGATCTGCTTCAAGTCTTTTCTTGTTCTATCTGTCAGGAAATATATACTTAACAGAATTAAACTTTCATCGCACAACTTTCATTGAGGACAATTTAAAGTGGATGTCTGGAAAGCTAGGAAACAGACATTCGGAATTCACAACAGGAAAGGGAATGGCAACAGGAACCGGAACCGGAATAGGAAAGCGAATAGAGGCAGGGTTTAAGGGTAGGAAGAAAAAAGACGAAATAAACGATGATATTTTGCTGTGAGATAAGACATAAAGTGTAGCTACCTGTAAAAACAGAGATGGTTTTCAGTTAATAACTCAATAAGAACAAGTAGCAATAATGACCAAGAGTTGATAAGAAAAGAATCGACCACAGGGAGACCACTTCTTTAATAGCCTTCAGGCTCCAGCCCTCTCTTAGCCTTCAGATAGTGACGACGATGCCTCCATTTCAGCTCAAGATGGCTGTTTTCTTTCAGGTGATTTTGAGCGCGTCGTCAGTTTGTTTTCTATCTACCAAAATTTTTTAAACGACCACACATTCAAGTAAATTTATAAAGCTGGCCCCTTGCTGGCATGTTGGATTTTGAAAGAGGGGGATGTGATTTGAGATATACTATTATAATAAGTTTTGAATCGAGTAAGGGAACAGGTACTGGTGAGACAAATGGGATACTTGAGCGAATCTTAAACTACTCATGGTAGATGTTTCCAACCTTTTTAGCAATATATTTGCATTGTGGACGAAACATAACGTGCGGAGGAGATGGAAACTCCGGTAAAATGTAACATCTTTAAGATTTCGGGGTCGCAAGATGTAAGCGGATTAATTGCGAAGTGGATCTAATTAACCTTTCTCTACTTTTAACACGTGACACGTTTTCATTTCCACCATCAATGCAGTCAGTTGAAAGAGGCCAGAGGTTGGGCTGGTACTCTTATTTTGAATGAGACGAGGCGTACTATTTTCTTAAAGCGTTTGGCTGTCTCTTCTGGTAAACTTGAGGTTTGAATACCGTACAATATATCTAGCACCACTGCGCGTCTCGTTTCCATGTGATCCAACACTGAAAATAAATGTATTATCCCTCCCTTCCTGCAAAGGACGAGTGGAGATAAAGGGAGGAAAGGATCGCAGACTAAGGGCGACATTACTGACGGGATTTTGAGTGTCATAAAAATGTTCCGAAAATGTTTTCAATTGTCGCAATATTGTCACAACATTGTTACCCGACAATTCGACGTTGCAAATCGCCTCGTGTAACAAGCCCTTATAAAATATTTCTAGGTACAAATATGTTCCTTTTTAAGGCGGTTTTTTCTTTCTTTTTGTGTAAATTAGTTAAAAGTTACGTGAGAATTTAATTCAATGAGTTTATATGACGTTTCTGTCCGGCTTATATCGGTTCCCAATCAGTGTTATTCTGCGTCCTACACCCGTCCCCGTTCCGGTTCTTCTTCCTATTGTTCCTTTTCCGGACTCCGGTTTCCTGATTTTCCAGACGCCTATTTTAAGTTACGATAGTTCTAAGATTATTAAAGCTTTTAAGTGGCAGTTTTTTGACACTCGTCATCACATTAGTAATAGCTGACTGAAAGATAGTAATCAAAAGAAAGGATGCCCAAGTTATGGAATTTGGAATTAACATTCCTTCCTCAGTTGTCTTCTCGCTATTATTTTCCATTTCACCTCTCACCTGTTCTCTGGTTTTATCTAAAGAGAAAACGATATGGTTTGTTTCTCACGGTAAAGTTGAAAAGTTATAAAATGCAAAATTCCTTTTGTTACAAACATTATTAAAAGTTAGCCTGACTCAAAGAATTATTAAATTTAGCTTGAAATTCATTTTTTGGAAACTGACCTCCATTCTCAGTAATGGAATTTCTCATAGCCTCCAGCTTCTCGCTCATGTTTCCCATTTCATTTTTCATCAGCTCTGTGAGTTTAACCAAAAAAAGCAGAAAACAAAAAATCAGTGTTGAACTTGTCAGCTGAGATAATTAGCTATCATTGAATTAGGCTAAGTGTGATCTGAAGAATTATGCAGATCTCTGAGGGTGTTATGAGGTTGTTTTTACCTTATTAACGCAAAACGTGTTATTTTTTTGGTCGGATTCGGATTCAATTTAAGGGATTCGGCTTTCACAGAATTATGCAGATCTCGGAGAGTGTTATCCGCCTGGATCTGGCTAATTCTTCAGATCATACAAAAGCCGGTCCAGTGGTTACTAGAAATAACTAACTCGCCTGGGATTCGTGCCCACTTTTGTTGTTGCAAACAAAGTTTGTTGGAAGAAACATTTTTTTTTTTTGCTTTTTTGTGTAAAGTTTACATCGCTGCAACTCGCTCAGTTACAGAATCACGGCCTTGACGTAACATTGAACCTGTTTGTTTGAACCTGTCTGTTTTTATAAGGAAAAAGTATATTTTGTCTAATTCCAAGCTTTCATTTCAGCCCCACCAACACGTTATTATAATATTTTAGTAAATTTAAGCTCAGAAAGAAAAACCAACCTATTTAGTACTATTAATAGAAAACACTTCAAAACCTCTATTAGTTAATACCTTCCACTCTATTAAGTTGGTCCTTAATGTTATCTTCGTCTTTCTTCCATTCCTTTAAGAGCTCTCGGGAATGCATCTCTGTATCTGCATCCATAGTCTCAGTTTTTAGTTTTCTGATAGCAGCTGCATCTACACCCAGTACAACCAGTGCGGCACTTACACCCTGCCACAAGGAATTAAATGTTGAATTGTCCACAGACGCCTGGCTGGCATGCCCATAGACCGAGTTCCTATAGTACTTTACTCTGGCTATGTTAGCCTCAACACTGGTGTCTGAAGGAGGTGGCAGACTATCCCAGCCTGTGGCAGGGGCAGCTAGACCACAGATGTTCCTCAGTAGCACCGTCAGTAGCGTGATGTCAAAGTTTTCTGATGTTACAGATGAAGGAGGAGACGGATACAGCTCACCCCATTGTGTAGCATTGATGATTCTCTTCCTTTTAAGGGACTGCAGCGTTGAATGTTCCGCAGAACCAGCTTTCAAAACATTAAACAGGTTTGCTGGGGAGTGGATTTTGTCAAATGTGTATCTCAAGGCCTTGGCGCCTCCATCTACTAAAAGGCGACATAATCTTGCGTAATTAGTCGTCGCTTTCGAGGATGGAGCTAATGTTGGAGCAGAAGCCATCAGAGTAGACCTGCAAGACATATATCATTACAACCAAAAAGGAGCCGAAGTTTCACTTAATTTTGTATGTCCCACTAGTGCCCAAAGTTGGAAAATTCTTTTTGTAATTTACCTTGAAATAAGAAATAACCATGATATGTGCTCCTACACCATGCCCCTTGGAAGCAGGTTAGAATTAGAAATACACCTATACGGTCGATAAGTGATAAAATACGATATAAAATGAATTGACGGTATAAACTCTTCAGGAAGGCGATTAACACGAAGTGTCCCTTATTGTGGCAAGAATACAAAAGAGCGAGGAATGAGGTTACCTCTGCCTTAAGACTAGCTAAGGCTAGTTACTTCTCCAATATGTTTGACGGGGTTAAGAATACGACCATGTATTGGAAGCTGCTTAAAAAAGCAACAAATCCTACTTAACCGAAGACCATAGGTCCTTTGAAAAGAGAAGATGATAGTCTTGCACTGCTTGACGCGGAGAAAGCTGCTTTCATTTATTTTCATTTATTTCATTTATTGGGTTTTAGTCACTCACACTAAGTAAAAATAAAACGTTACAAGAGGTGTTAATTAAAATACAAGTTGTTGTGACAAGGAAGCCTAAAGAAGCTGGGAGCTTATATTAATAGGCTTCCTTAAGCTATACTACAAAGGCTTACTTGATTGCAGAGTGTGCAACAAACATAAAACTTAATCAACAGAACGACTATAAATGAGATAATTACAAATATGGGGGAGGAGGTGGTTAGTGTAACTGGCAAAGAATTTCAAATGTCGGCCCTCGATAAAGGATACTGAACTGCATAATATTAGTTCTACAAAAATGAGGACTAAACTGAGAGGCTAGTCGAGTTTCATAATGGTGAACCTGGTTACTACTTAAAAAGAGGTTACGAAAGCTACTAGGCAAAAGATTATGGTGATAAGAATACATAAACGTAGCAACAGAAAAAGAATTAATGCTATATATGTCAAGGACTTTAAGTTTGCTAAATGATTGGGAGGTATTTGCTAGATAGTGAGCTTTTGATATAAGCTGCACTATGCGCTTTTGCAAAAGGTAAATGCAGTTTAGGTCAGAGCAATAGGTGGAGGAGCTTTGATTGCATAGGTGGAGGAGCTTTGATAAACTGATATTTCTCCAAAATAAGAGAGAAGTTAGCTGATGAACTTCTACAGCCCCCTACTGCAATTGAATGCCGCGAACCGGACTTAATTCGAAATCGGAGAGCTGAACCACCTCCTGTAAGTGAAATCACGGGATCTCAGCGATCAGAACGCAAAAAAGTCGGATTCCTGAAAATAAATAAGTCAACTGTTTCTGATCATATTCCACCGAAACTAATAAAACTCGCAGGAACAGCAGTCATTCCTGCTCTAGTTGCTCTTTTTCGATTTAGCATAGAACGTGGGCTAATATTTTCTTCATGGAAAACAGCTAGACTTACACCGATTTATAAAAAAGATGATAAAACAAACATTGGAAATTATTGTCCGGTCTCTCTCCTCAGTGTCCCTGGCACTCTGGCAAGATTATGGAGTCGGAGATTAACCCACTCTCGTACAACACATCTTCAAGGGTAATAATCTTGCATCGGATAAGCAGTTGGCATATCGTGTCGGGTATTCGACCGAACTCTTGCTCATTCACCTTACAGAGTCGTGGAGGAGAGCTGAAGACTCTGGAATGGCAGTCGCAACGGTCTTCATCGAATTTAGAAAAAGCGTTTGACCTAATATGCAATTACCTCAGTGGAAGACAACAATTTACTGTGCTAAATGGTGTAAAGTCGGATGTGTTACCTATGTCGATGGGGATTCCACATACCCCTGAATAACGATAGTGTTTTCCTATCATTGAAAAAATAGAATTATAATAGTATAATCACTTAGTTGGGATTGCCATCGAGTTCTAAATATTACATTTACACTAACCCCTGACCCCCCACGGAGTCACTGCTGAGCCCTTTGCTGTAGTGAACCGTTGCACCTTCTGTTAGGTTTTCCTACAACTGTCTGAACAGTCACTCAAGACCAGTCCTCTCTTAAACCTTAAATAGACAATAAGTTTGAAGAGGAATCACCTAGGGGGAGTGAAAGTTGTTTACATGAACTTAAAAAAGTTCTGTAGAAGTTTCAGGTTTTTCGCTATTAAATCACCCATGCCATTTTTTTTTCTCAAAGTCACAGCCCTTGTTTACAAATTCATGGCAAATTTTGATGTGGGATGAAGAGTGTAACTGCTGAACAAAATAATTGCAAATTATACAGGTTTAACAGTTTTGTCAAGGTAGCTTAACAATAATCACCATGCTAGGAATGAGTAATACGGGGGCACGATTTGTTAGTAATGCACCTATCAAGGTAAATCCCGTGGGGGAGAGTGCGGGCAATGGGAGGGGATTTGATGCCTGAGACTATCCCCCTGTCGGGCTTTTGATCGTGTGAAGCGACCCCGGGGTCGGGACATTTGACTTTGACCGATAGAAGCCTGGTATCAATTCAGAAGCGGTTACCTAGTCCGTCCCTCGAGGCTTTCTGAAAGTCACGCTGTTGGAGAAAGGTATGAAGTTTTCATTTGTTTTAATCGCCATAATCCGATACTTTACACTGTCGTCTAAACAGATAATATTTATTTTGAGAAAGTTTTTATCTTCAAGTTCCCATCTGATTGTAAACCTCGATTGAAATCGAATTTTACCATGAAAGTCAGAGGATTTTTTACGGGTCACTGATCCGACCTGTTCCGACATGTTGAGCAGATGTTATAAGTAGTTATAGAAATGGGTATCCTAGCTGACTCTTCGAATTCCCAGAATTTCATTAAATCAAATAATAAAATCCCAGAATATGCACGGGACTACAAAAAAGAATACCTTTTTATTATAGGAATAGATAAAGAATTTAAGTATTTTGTTGAGCATATTAATGAGTCACCTACTGGCTTATTTGAGAATCACAGAGTTGATAGAATTAAGTATTTTATAAAAAGATTTTTAAAAGGACAAGAAAGGGGCAAACTTAAAGATATTAGTAATTTTATTTTAAAGAAAAATGATATTTTATATATAGAAGAATTTTACCAAAATATGATATATAATTTTGAAGAAGATGATAACTCATGTTATAGAAATGTTTATATGATTTTAAATTATATTGAAGAATATGATAAACTAGGTGATAGAGAATTTTGTTTACTTTTATGTGAATTTTATAATAAATTAAAAGTTGAATTTTTTGTTAGTGATTATTATGGGGAAGGACAATATGTTTAATTATAACTTAAACATTTACGTCTAATAATATAATCTTATTATAAGACGTCATGTCTAACCAGTCAGTTAATGGTTTTCAGGGTTCTCAACCCTTAATAACAGATAAACAATTTCAGAATTTATCTCTGGATGAAATAAGACATATAATAACACAAGAAAGAGAAGAACTTAAGAAAGATTATAAGGAATTAGGAGAAAGAAGAAAATTAATTAAACAATATAAAAAATTGGTAGAAGCTAGAGAAAAAGTAAAACAAGGAATAGATATAAAAAAGAAACTCAAAAAAAATAAACCCCCCGTCAAAATCCCTTCTAAAAAGAAAAAGATAAAAACATTTGACGAGTATTTTGAGGAATGTATTAAAAATAGAAAATTCCCAAAGATACTCCTTCTTATTTGCGTGAAGCTCTTGAGCGAGCTATTTTAGAATATGACCAAGGACTTGAAAAAGAAAAATCAGCTTTTGAAGACTTTGCTGTTAAGTATACTATTCAAGGAATTCCTGGTCTTACTCCAACGCAGTTTTTTGAGCGTATATATAAAACTTTAAAAGATTTTTTTGCTTATCATCGAAATATAAAATTTAGGATGATTTTAGTTTGTATTATGGAAAAACAAAATATTCAACAAAATGTTGGTGTTGTAGGATTAGAAGAAGGTAAATCTTACTTTAATTCATTTACACTTATTAATAATAAATCAACAGATGTAGACGAATTAATTCAGAAAAGTATAGATGGTATTGAAGGAGGAATAGAAGCATATCGTGAAAATGGAAGTGGTTGGTATTTTAAAGAAGTGGAAAAACTTGAAATTCATACGGTTGAATATAATCCAACAAAGGGATCATCTTACATTTCTCTTCCAAATTGGATATCAAATAAAAAAGCAATTGTTAATATTAAAAACAAAGATGAGAAATGCTTTCTTTGGTGTATACTTAGATATCTTCATCCAAAAAAAGATAATGATAGTGGATTGTTAGATTTAAAGAAGTATGAATTTTCACTTAACACTAAAGGTATTACTTTTCGTATGAAATTAAAAGACATCACCAAATTTGAAAAACTTAATCCAGAACTTCCAGGAATTAATGTTTTTTCAAATGATGGTATGATTATTTATCCTTTGAGAATGGCAAATAGAGATTGTTTAAATACTATTGATTTATTTTTGTACGAAGAAGATGGTTTTTCTCATTATTCACTAATTAAAGATTTTAATCGTTTGATAAAGTCACAAAAAACTGCAAGTAAGAATGGTAAAATATTTATTTGTAAAAAGTGTTTTACTCATTTCACTAAAGAAGAATTATTAGAAAAACATATCAAATATTGTTCTAACAATGAAACAGCTTGTGTAAAAATGCCTGAACCAAACACAATGTTATATTTCAAAAATTACTATAAACAACTTCCTATTCCTTTTGTAGTTTATGCAGATTTTGAATGCTTTACCAAACCAATGAATACTTGCAGTCCTAATCCAAAAGAATCTTATAATTACAACTACCAAAAGCATGAACCATCAGGATTTTGTTTTTATGTTAAAGGAATAGTTGATAAAAAAATTAAACCGATAATTTATACAAAAACAAAAGAAGATTAAGATATATCAAAAGTATTTGTAAAAAAACTTACAGAAGTAACTAAAGGTATTTATAACGATTTTTATCGTAGACCAAAACCTCTTAGACTAACTCGAGCCGAACAAAAACTATTTGATGAAGCAGAAATTTGCCATATTTGTAATAAAGAATTAAAAGAAGATAAAGTTAGAGATCATTGTCATTTTACCGGTCAGTACCGTGGTGCAGCTCGTAACAGTTGTAATTTGCAGTGCCGAAAACCATTAGTTCTTCCAGTTATATTTCATAATCTTCAAGGATATGATGCTCATTTGTTTATAAAACAACTTGCTAGATTACCAGGTAATTTGAACTGTATTCCATCTACGGAAGAAAAATATATTTCGTTTTCAAAAAGTATTAAAGTTGATGAGTATATGTCTAATAAAACTGGTCAAATGGTTCCAATAAATTTTGAAATACGATTTTTGGATTCATTCAAGTTTCTTCAAACATCACTTGCCAATCTTGTTTCAAATTTACAACCAGATGATTTTCATAATACAAAACAAGTATTTAAGAAAAATGTAAATCTACTAACTCGTAAGGGAGTTTATCCCTATGACTATGTTTCATCACTTGAAAAACTATCCGAAACACAATTACCCCCAAGAGAAGAATTCTATTCAAAACTAAATGATGAAGAAATAAGTGATGATGATTACCAACATGCTATTAATGTATGGAATACCTTTGAATGTAAAACAATAAGAGATTATCATAATCTTTACCTAAAGTCTGATGTCCTTCTTCTGTCAGATGTATTTGAAAACTTTAGAAAAACTTGCCTAAAACATTACAAACTAGATCCAGCTCATTATTTCACATCTCCTGGTCTAGCTTGGGATGCATGTCTCAAAGAAACAGGTCAGGAATTACAGTTACTACATGATTATGATATGTTAATGATGTTTGAGCGAGGTATTCGTGGTGGAATAACACACATATCAAAAAGATATGCAGAGGCGAATAATAAATACATGAAAGATTATAATCCTGATGAGGAGTCTAGTTATATTCAATATTTGGATGCAAACAATCTTTACAGTTGGGCAATGTCTCAACAACTTCCTACACATGGATTTAAATGGATGAAAGATATAACAAAAGAAAAGGTAATGGAAATTTTAGAGAAAGCAAATCATAGTATGTTTAATCGTGGAAAAAAAGGCTATATATTTGAAGTTGATTTGGAATACCCTTCCAACTTATGGGAAGATCATAATGACTATCCTCTAGCACCTGAGAAGATGATTGTTAATGGTGTTGAAAAACTAATTAGTCATTTTAAACTAAGAAAAAACTATGTTGTACATTATCAGAATCTTAGACAATATCTTGAGATGGGAATGAGAATAACTGCTGTTCATAGAGGAATATCATTCTATCAAAGTTCTTGGATGGAACCATATATAAGAAAAAATACAGAACTTCGAAAGACAGCAGCCAACAGTTTTGAGAAAGACTTTTTCAAACTAATGAATAATTCAGTATTTGGAAAAACAATAGAAAATATAAGGAAAAGACAAAATATAGAACTTATTGATAATCGTAAAAAAGCTGCAAAACTATCAAGTAGACCAAACTTTGATAGAGCAACAATATTTGATAATCATCTTATTGCGGTCCATATGAAGAAGACTGAAGTTTATTTTAACAAACCAGTATATGTTGGTCAAGCAATTCTAGATTTATCAAAAACATTAATGTTTGATTTTCATTATAACTACATCAAAAATAAATATGGAAACAAGGCTGAGTTATTGTTTACAGATACCGACTCGTTGATGTACCAGATTAAAACAGATGATTTTTATAAAGATATATCAAATGACATAATAACCAAGTTTGACACGTCTGATTATCCTCCTAATCATAAATCTGGAATACTAACAGGAGTTAACAAAAAAGTGATAGGGATGTTTAAAGATGAAGTAGCAGGAAAACAAATTACTTGTTTTGTTGGATTGAAACCCAAACTTTACAGTTTTAGAATTGAAGAAGATAAAGAAGTACGTAAATGTAAAGGAATAAAGAAAAATGTTGTAAAAAAGAAATTAGATTTTGATGACTATGTTCAATGTTTATTTTTGGGAAGAAAAGAAATGAGAAAGATGAAAATAATAAGAAGTGAAAATCATGATATATATTCAAAAGAAGTTAACAAAGTAGCTCTAAGTAATGAAGACGATAAACGCGAAGTCCTCTTAGGAAAAGTAAAAACGATAGTTTTAAGGTAATAAAATAATAAATAATAAATGACATATACAGAAGAAGAAATAAAAAAATATCTAGAAATATTGTATAATTATACTAGTAAACCTGAAGAGGAAGTTAGTAGAAAATCTAAATGTTGTAGTTGTCAAAATAGTGAATGTTTTACCATTGATTCTGGTTATAAAATCTGTGATTACTGTGGAGTAGCAAACGGGCATGTATTAGGCTTTTACGATGTTAAAGATTACGATAGATTATATTTTAGAAAAAAGAGTATTTATCATAGGAAGTATCACTATGAGAAAAGGGTTAATCAAATTTCTAAAATAATAAACCTAACTGATGAAATAAAATGTGAACTTTATGATAAACTAATGAAAATAGATAATTACACCATGGAAATACTAAATAAAAAATACTTTAGAAAGAGAATGATAAGTATTTTTTATTTAATTAAAAAACTTTTGGAGGAGATGGGATGTGAAAAGTATAAACTAATTTATCTTAAGATTTCCCCACAAACTTTAGAGATTTATGAAAAGTGGTGGTTAAGTTATAATGATTAAAAATAAAAATGAGTAAGCGAGTTGTTGAATCACCTGAAATTGAAGCAAAAGATTTGTTTTATTCATCTGATGATAGTGATATATTTGAATATTTTTTTGAAGACGCTAGTCCACCAGATGGAGTATCAAAAGATGATTACCTAAAAGAATTAAAAGTAGAAGAAGCAAGGAGATTGTTAGGTTTAGATAAGAAATAATTTTTTATATTTTAAAAAATATAAAAAAATTTAATCTCCTAAGTAAATATAACCAGTTTCAAATACTCTAAAAATATCTAAAACTGTTTTTGTTTTATAATATAAATCTTCATCTATTTTTAGAGAATTTAAAGTATGGTATATTCCTTCAGTATCAACACCACCATCTTTCATAGCATTTTCTTTTAATTCTTCTAGAAATGATTTTTTAGTATAAATTAGTCCATATAATTCTTCTAGAAATGATTTTTTACCATTAATTAGTTCAATTATTTTTCTCTTTTTTTAAAATTAAATAGGTTAATTAATTCTTCTCTTTTTTCATGTTATTTCAAATTTTCTGTGTAATGTATTAATATGATTCAATATAAGTTTATTTAGAAATTCTTTTTTTACTTCTTTAATTTCTTCAAAATTAGTGAGTATATACTCATCATGCAAAAATTCAAACATTTCATTTAATAATTCTTTACCAAGACGTTCAACATCTTTTTGTTTTATAATAACAGCTGCCATTTTTATTAAATGATTATATTATTTTAATCCTTTACGAAAAATCCAGTAACTTATTCCAGTTGGGTAACCTAATACTTCACTATTTATTGGAGAGTCAAATGTGTATACACATCCTCTTCCAATTTTGTAATGTTTATGAAAAGATTTAAAAGCTCTATAAAACATTAGATGATTATTTAGAACAGGATTATTAGATTTAATAGATCTATCTTCTATTCTATAAAATATTTTTTCTATATCTATATTTTCTTTAAAATAAACTTCATAGAAGTATCTGTAAATTAGTGATGTTTTTATAAGATTTTCAGGATAGGGAAGATGTTTATAAAAAGGATAATAAAAGTTAACATAATGCACAATTGTGTTTATCATTTTCTATCTTATGTGTAGATAGAAAAATAGTTTAAAAAAATAATTTAAATAAGTAAATGAATGATCAAATACATGCAGGAAGTTTTTATATTGGGCCAGAAAACATTGGTGGGTCAATTGTAGAGAAGGAAACGGGAGTTTATAAAAGTGGTTTGATGGATAAAAACTCAATAACATATTTTTTAAATTCTAATCAGTTAACATTTATGATGTGTGATTATATTATTTTAAATGAAAAAATCCCAATAGAAATATTTAAAGAAATCATTACTTGGTTTTGTAACAAAGCACCATTAGTAACTGTTGTAACAACTTATACGAAAAAAATAAGAAAACCCTTGGATGAAATATCAGCTAGTGAATTACAAGCATCTAATTGGTTTAAAGAGAATAAATAAAGATGGATTGGTTTACAACATTTTCTATTTATTTTTAAATAGAAAATTAATTAATATTTAAAGATAAAAATGATAATATAAATGTCAAATATGTTGGAAAAAAAAATAAAAATGTTGATTTAGGAATTGAGTTAACATCTTATTTAGACAATCAGCAAAATGTCTGGTTTTGTGGAGAAGATGTTGCTCAATTACTTGGATATAAAGACACTAATCAAGCAATTAGAAAACATGTTGATTATGAAGACCAAAAAAGCTGCCCCGTCGAAACGACGGGTCAGGTTAGATGGTATACTTTTTTAAATGAATCCGGTTTCTACTCACTTGTTTTATCCTCTAAATTAGAAACCGCCCAAAAGTTCAAAAAATGGGTTACCTCACAAGTACTTCCATCAATAAGAAAATATGGTTATTTTAAAATGTTTGACAACCCGAAAAACAAAATGTTTAAAATTGAAAATGAAACTGATCTTCATTACAAAGTTGTTCAACTAATTAGAAATTATTATCCTGAATCTATATTAGTTGCCGGACTGGGAGAGAATCAAGATACAGAGGATAAAAGACTAGATTCTTATAAAAAAGGATATCAACGAGGTCAACCAGATCTAATGATTCTTGATTATCACAAATATTATAAAGGTCTCTGTATCGAATTCAAATCACCAACTAATAATTACTGTGTTACAGAATCACAACTAAAAATGAAAGAAAAGTACCGTGAAAATAATTATGCATTCATACTAAGTAATGATTATGATAAGATCAGCAAACTTATTCATAAATATATGGCTGGCGTGCGAATTCCTTGTGAATATTGCACAAGAGCATTTCTTAATAAAAAAAACTCTAAATAGACATTATAAAGTTATTCATAGAATTGAGAAAAACATCTAATTTCTAAATAATTATTTATTTAGAAATAAAATGGCAAACATGTTAGAAAAATCTTTTATAAATAAACAACTAGGAATTATATACTATTTAACATCTTATTCTTTAAACCAATTTTCTTGTTATTGAAATATGTTCTAAAGCGTATTTGATATCTCTATAGTTTCTCATATCATCTAAATACTTTTTACATCTTTTAACCAATTTTGGATCAAAACCAAATCTTTCTGGATGGGTAAGAAAAAGACAATAAGTATTAGCTTTTTCTACTACCAAGTCATCATAATCTCCAAGTATAGAATCAACTTCTTTACATATTTCTCTTCCTTCTACGGCTAAAGCTGATTCGTAAGAACTAATTAATTGATTTTCAATCTTTCCAAAATTATCCCTTTTAATGTTAGTAAATTAATCTTTAAACCTTTTTTTATATCTACTATCAAATCTATCTGCTATTGGAGTCTGATCGATTATTATTTCATCTATTAACTTCATACGATCAACAAACTCTTCTTTGTTCCACTCATCTCCCCGAAGAGCTGCTCGTAGTTCAACAAGTACTTTCTCGTAAGTAGTAAATGCAATCCTTGTCATCTCAATTTTTCTTTTGTAATTATTTTTCTTTCCTACTCCAGCAACAATAACTCCAGCACCATTTACAACTCCAAGAACAACAGGGTTTAGGGTTATTCCACCGGGAATAGTTCCTATTGCAACCAAGCATATTCCAGAGATTGTAAAAAAATTATCAAGAAATTTATAACTCTTATAAGACCGCTTAAAACACCAGTATTTCTGATGGTAATGACTATAAAAGTCTTTGAGGGTTTTAACGTCTGATTCTGAAAGATATTTGTCTATGTGATTAAATTCAAAGATATCCTTCATTTTATATCTATAATATATAAGTTTCATTTAACTTTTCTTGAAGTATTATTTTATGATTTTCTATAGAGTCTGTATCGTAAAAGTTTGGGGAGTACATAAATTTTTCTATTACTCCATCTTGATTTAAAAATTCAAATTTTTGGTTATTTGAATGACTAACAACATTAGCAACTATTTCTGAGGAGTAGTTACTTATTTTAACTTTTGTAACATGATTATTAATACTTTCTGTTAACCATAAAACTACTTTTTGTCCGTTAAAACTACTTGGAATTACTATATTTTTTCTTGTATTACTAATATGTAAATTTAATGTATTATTTACATTAAGATAGTATAAAAAAAATAAAGTTTGATTACTATTTTCATCTTTTTTAGTTATACTAAAATTTCTATTTCTCCAAAGAGTAAAAACAATACATAAAGTGTAGCTTGTAAGTTTATTAGCTGATGAATAAGAAATAGTATATCCATTAACATTTAATCCACCATTTTTTATGTTATCAATTGTTTTAGTTGGAAATGTAATATTTCTTGCAGAATTTCCTGTAATAGAAGATAATGAATTAAAAACAACCCCAGATGAAGTTTTATGTAAAACGTAAATGTTTGAATCATTAAAGTCAAAAAAATCTTCAAAATATTTTCTATAAATATAATTTTTTGTAAAAGGATGAATTTCATTTACCATTCCAACTGTTGCTGCACTATTGTTACTGTTTCTATCAAGATTAATGTTTAATATTTTTTTTATTATTTGCATTTATATCAACATTGTACATCACTTCTGTTGGTTTGATATCAAATGCGGTGTGATAGTCGTAAACTTTATCTGGATCGATATTGCTAATTTTTCCCACAATTCCATAAGTAATTATATAAACTCCTGGAAACTGTCTCGGATACACAGCCGGGTCAGTTCCATCTTGTGGTATATTAACCAAAATATGAAGAAAGAACTTATTACCGGATGACAACTTCTTAAAATTAACTATTATTCTGTGATAATACATAAATTGTGCTTGTCCCTTTGAATCGCTGTACCTATGGGAGAGTTTCTTTACACTAACATTTTCAATTGATAATCCTGTTGAAGTTCCTTTGTCTACACTTATTTGAGACTTATGCCACAGTTGATAATCAGTGTTGAGTATTTCCAAACACAGTGTGTAATCAGCATTTGCAGTTAACCTGTAAAAGTTGATTCCCATTTTGTACTTATATCCACCTTGAGAACTTTTGTTTATTGTTACAAAAATTACTTGGTGGTTATAGTTATGAAAATTACCTTTAGAAGGAGATAAGTCTCCTATTCTTTTTATAACAAAACTAGTTCCAGTATCTATTTCATCAGTCCATTGTGCCGCACTAGACATAAGATAAGCAAACTGGTCGTTGTAATGGCTTGGTTGAACTGCAGTGTGATGAACTAGTTTGTCAGCATAATCTTTAGTTACCGCTTCATTGTCTTGGGTTGGCTTACTAAGATTTATTATTTTATTATTACCAACATTAAAGTCTCCAGTCATAGGAACAGTACCATCTTTTTTCAAATAATTACTCAAATCTGGACTTCCGGCATTATCATCCACATACTTTTTGGTGGCAGCATCTGTGTTTGATGATGGAGTTGCGAGACCAACTATTTTATTGTTGTTAAGATTCAAGTCTCCAGTCATAGCGACTGTACCATCTTTTTCCAAGTAACCACTTAAATCTGGGGCACCTGTGTTATCATCCACATACTTTTTGGTTGTTGCATCTGTGTTTGATGTTGGTGGTCTAAGGTTAATTATTTTTTTATTATCCATGTTTAGATTATTAGTCATTTTATTTGTTCCAGCATGGTGTTCTATCAATTTTACAATGGAGCTCGAAGAAAATGGCAAGCTTCCCTTTCTCGGAATGAATGTTATCAGGAATGGTTGCCGCCTAGACACCACGGTTTACAGAAAACCAACGGACACTGGACTTCTACTACACTACCACAGTCACGTTGACGCCAGATACAAACGGTCACTCCTGAACACCATGCTTAACCGTGCGTTTAAACTCTCGTCTACGTGGAAGTTTTTTCACGAGGAATGTGAACGCCTTAAAGAGATCTTCTCCCGACTGCGCTATCCAGACGACCTTGTGCAGTCAACCATTCGCCAATTCATTGAATCCAAAGTGTCCGAGGATTCACACACCCAAGTGGCTGATAAAAGAGAAGCCCCAATCAGAATCGTGTTGCCCTTCAAAGACCAGAAATCAGCAAACGTTGTACGTAAACAGCTGGCTGACCTGAGTAGGAAGATCAACGCAGACATCAGCCCAGTTTACACAAGTAGGAAGATCAAAGATGAAATTAAGGTCAAGGAAGACAAGCCGCCTCTTGTGAGTCAACAATGCGTGGTGTATTCTTTCCAGTGTAGCCTGTGTGATGCAGGTTATGTCGGCTACACGTGCCGACACCTACACCAACGAATTGAAGAACACAAAGGATCGGCAATCGGAAACCACCTCAGAGAGCAGCATGATATGGAGCCTGAAGACATCGCACAAAGTTTTAGAATCTTAAGAAAGTGTCAGAACAAATTTGACTGCCTTATTTTTGAAATGTTTTTATCCAAGAACTGAGACCGACACTTAACAAACAGTGCGATTCAATTCGCGCCAAATTATTTGTTTAGAGTAGTTCTTGTTAACATTGTTTTATTTCCATTGTTTTTTGACTTTATAAATATTTTTGTTAGCACTTTTTACATTTTTACATATTTTATCACATTTTAGCGTTCACCACATTTTTATCTATTATAACTTGCTTTTAACTTATCTATGCTAATTTTAGAGAACTTTTATACACTTGAAAATGACCTCGGGAGGTCGAAACGTCGTGATTTTTTATCGCTAATATTTATCGCAAAATAGACATATTTTTATCTAAACATTATATTAAATGAAAGAATCATATTGCACTGTAGATAAAAGAGTAACTCCTTGTACAGAGCCAAGTGGTTACCAACAAGATAAAAGAGGTAGAACTCAATTCTTTTGTAGATGTGCAGTTTGTGGAAACAAAAAAGTTAGATATGTAAAAACTGGAACAGCTTCTCAAACTGGAAGTGGTAAAAAGAGAAAACGAAAGTCAAAAAACTAATCAGCCCGTCAGTGATGGCGTCCAAAGGTGTTGGTGATGCTTTTGGTCCAATCAAAACAGGAATAAATGTGGGACAAAAAATATCAGAAACCTTGTTTCCTCAAACAAAGCAAGTATTCAAAGATTATTGGTCTGGTGATATTGCCAAAGGTGTTGTTAATTCAGAAGATGGCATATTTACTTCCAATTTCTGGACAGGTGATACAACTGTGTTTCGTAGTCATGGTAAAAAATTTTATCTGAAAGAAGGAAATCCCATCATGATTGTCAAGCAAAATGGTAAACAAATTGGTTATGCTCATGTAAAAGATTTTTTCAGTGGTGGATTAGGAACCAACAAAATATACAAATCTATAGCAGAGATTAAAAACAAATATGGTTCAGGAGTTGACATTCACAAACAAATACTAAAAGTTGCACCTTATAGAGGAATAACTATACCAGGCCATAATTATACTGGTCCTGGAAATCCTCTTGAGGACCAACTTAGTCACGATGATGAGGGAAATATACTAGAAATCTATCAACAACCAACAGGACCAACTGGTGCAGTTAGTATGCAACATGATGTGGATTACACAGTTTGTGGAAACCTTCCCAAAAGTGAACAATTAAAATGCAAACATACTGCAGATAAAAAAATGGTAAAATCACTAGATGCAATTCCTTGGAAAAAAAGACAATGAGGACATTGGTTTGCTAGAACAATAATTAATACTAAACAAAAACTTGGAATGGGAACAAAAAACGTAAAGCGGCGTTGAGTAGTGATTGGTCTCAACAATTAGCCGACGAACTTCACAAACCAATCACAAGAAACTTTCAAAAGAGATCAGTAGTCTCAAACGGGATTGATGAGATCTGGGCTGCTGATTTAGTTGAAATGCAAAAGTTTAGTAGGTGGAACAAAGGGATTAAATATTTGTTGATGGTTATTGATGTGTTTAGCAAGTATGGTTGGATTAGGGCATTAAAAAAATAAGAAAACTGAAACTGTTAGTAAAGCATTCGATGACATATTTAAAAGTAAACGTAAACCAAGGATGCTATGGACAGATAAAGGTTCTGAGTTTATCAGTAAACATTTCAAAGATTTTCTGAAAAGTAAAGGAATTAAACTGTATCACACTGAAAACGAAGAAAAATCTAGTGTTGTTGAGAGATGGAATAAAACAATGAAAAACAGAATGTGGAAAATGTTTACAGTTAATAACAACACTGTTTACTGGGATAAGTTAGATAAACTAGTTAATGATTACAATAATTCGAGACATTCCAGTATAAAAATGACTCCTGTTGAAGCAAGTAAAAAGAAAAATAAAAGTAAAGTTTGGTCTAATTTGGATGGTGATTCTATTTACTTAAAACCTGGTAAATCAAAGTTTGCGGTTGGTGATCGTGTTAGAATTTCTAAGTATAAGAGAAAGGTATTTGATAAAGGTTACACACCAAACTGGACAGAGGAGATATTTGTGATTAACAAAGTTTTACCTACAAAACCTGTTACAAATAACATTATTGATTTGATGGGAGAAGAGATTAAGGGTTCTTTCTATGAGCAAGAATTGCGAAAAGCAAAACAGCAAACATTTAGAATAGAAAAGATTATCAGACGAGATAATAAGAAAAAAATGGCATTAGTGAAATGGAGTGGATATCCTGATAAATTTAACTCATGGGTAAGTTCTAAGGATTTGGTTGATTTTTAATACAAATTTTGTATTAAAAATAAAATCCTATTATCTACTCATTTTCTTCTTTATCAGATGAAAGTAAGTCGTCAACTACTTGATCAGTTATCTCTTCACCTTCACTCTCTTCCTCGTCAATTGTTAGTAAAGTCTCTCTAGGTTTTAGTGGTTTGACATAGCACTCATGTACTTTTATTTGTAAAGATGTAACAGTTTTACTTATAAAGATTCCTTCAATTATCAATGCCAATTTAACATTGCAAAACTGATTGATATATTTAAAAGGATTTAAATCCTCACCTCCCTTTCCCTTAAACAAAGATAATATTTTCTTTGATTTTTCAGAGTAAATAAGTTTTGCGTAGAGAACTGGTGTGGATGATTCATCAACTTTTGTTTTCTTCTTTCCTTTCTTATCTATATATTCTATTTGTTTGTAATAAAATGGTGAAGACAGAGATGATGCTAAATCTACACCATATTCATTTTCTAAATGACTTTGACACATTGAAACAACAGTGTTTAGGGTTTCAAAAAATGATAGTTCTTTAGGATTTGGGGCACTATCTTTACTCCAAAGAAATACTGGTATACTATAACCAGCTAACTTACCTGTTTCTTGATTTTTCTTTTCACTTACTCCAAAAGAGAAAAGAACTGGAGATTCAACTACCAAAGCTCCTTTCTTTCCATTTGGATAATTGATTTCAATTGGGATACGTTTGTATTTGATCTTGCTATCTTTGACTTTGAATTCTTTGGCTTCATTAAAGATAATATTGTCTTGAGTAATATTTTCGTAACTGGACAACTGCATCTTTTATTATAATAATTTAATCTTTAAGCAATTATTTATTTGCAATTGTGACATCTATAGAATATAATCTTTCTAAAATTTCTTCTAAAACTTTTATAAGTTCTTTTTTAAAATTAATATCTTCTTCGCAACCTAAATTAATAATATTTTTATAATTTAAATCAATATCATTGGATAGACTATTTAAATCAACATTACCATTTGAACTCATTTTATTATATTTTTGTTTTCTTTTAAATTACTTTTTAGGCCAAAGTAAATTAATTGACCAAAAGTTTGATGATTCGGGATTATTATAAGTTAACTCTCCCTGTTTATTTTTTATCTTTGTAGCTCTAGAAAGATATTTATCTCGTCTATCTTTGTCCTGATGAATAAGATAGTCTGGATATTTTGGCGATCCAAAATGTACTTTTTTTCCACTTGAAAGAGTGGCCATGTATTTATTATTTTTTCGTGTTGAATAATCAAGCGATTCAGCACCAAGTTTTTTAGCATTTCGTGTTAACTTTTTAAACTCTTTTCCACTAACAAGATACTTTTCGTTTGGAACATAATCTGGATCCACATCATGTCTATAACCATCATCAACTATAAAATCCAAATCCTCTTTTGTAGGAGTAGTTTCTTTTGATCTTGGTTCCATTTTTATTAGTTGTTTATACTAATTCTTTTGCTGAAAACCCCGTAATACTAATTAATTTCATCTTCTTCAAACTTTTGTTCCCTTCTATATATTTCTTCATGTCCTATTTCTTTTACTTGCTCTGGAGTATACATATGAGTAAACATAAGATATTTACAAAAAGGATCTATTTGCTCATCATTTCCAAGAGCTTTAATAACACCAGCAATACTTATCTTTGCAGTATCAACAAAACACTCTAAATAAGAAAAAATATAATGCAGACCATACTTATCTTCTTCAAAAAGAAAATCAGGATTTGTTGTTATATAACCAATATTATGAAAAATACCATAATACCTAGCTAATCGTTTTGCTAATTTAATCTTTTTCTCATCACCACTCGCTTTTAATTTTTTCATTGCTTCACTCGTAATTTTTTTTTTCTCTTTCCATCCAACCACAACTTCACAACCCATATCTTCAAATTCCTTTAATAACTCTTCCATTTTATATATTGTTTAAACTAGTTAAGTATTTTATAATAATTTTTTTTATAATTAGAAGCTACTAACTTTTCATTGTAACTTTGGTCTCTATAACACTCAAATCGTATTTCTGGATTTGGGTTATCTTTTAACATATTATATAATCTATGATCTTTATTCCCTTTAATTTCTTTCATTTTTTCCTCTAATGTTTTAAAAGTGTGTTCAATATAAACTTGTTTTTCAGGAAAATGAATTGTAAAAATTTGCTGAAAATTATTATCCATTCTTTTAATTTAAAATGTTCTTTCTTTTAAGTCATTTTTAAAACTTGTAACAAAAAATGTTATAAGTTTAAACACTATCACTATCACTATCACTATCACTATCATAAGTAAATTCTTTGTATTTAATTTTAAACTTACTAAAAAGTAATTCGAAATCATCATAAATATTTTTGAAACCAGGATAAGGATCAATAAAAGGTTCATCATCATCATCATAACAATATTTACAAAAATTAATATATTGATTAAAATTAAGAAAATTCTTCTTAATCTTAATCAAGTTATCAACATCAATATTGTTAATCTCAAAATTACTAATATCTTTAAGTTTGCCCCTTTCTTGTCCTTTTAAAAATCTTTTCATAAAATACTTAATTCTATCAACTCTGTGATTCTCAAATAAGCCAGTAGGTGACTCATTAATATGCTCAACAAAATACTTAAATTCTTTATCTATTCCTATAATAAAAAGGTATTCTTTTTTGTAGTCCCGTGCATATTCTGGGATTTTATTATTTGATTTAATGAAATTCTGGGAATTCGAAGAGTCAGCTAGGATACCCATTTCTATAACTACTGTTATAAAGCATTTTACGTTTCATTAATATTATAATAGCACGGTCAATCTTCCTGGAGCGATTATGTTGTCCAAAATAAGAGATGCTAGTGGAGAGAGAAAATACTTAATTACAGCGAGTAATTTAACGGAACTTGCGTTAACCTTAAACAAAAGTAGTAAGAGCGTACTTTTGAAATGTTCTTTTATTCGTTTTATATAGTATTCTAGTATTGTTTGTTTAAATTTTTCCCCTGGGGTGGGGGCTTTTTTGACACTTTTGATTAACCTTTCGTTTCCCACCCTGGGGAATTTGATCAAAAAATTTTAAAATTTGTCAAATCCCCACCCCTTGCCCGCACTCCTCCCCCCACAGGGTTTACATTGATAGGTGCATAACTCAAAGGAGAGCGGCGCCAAGCGAGCGTAAAACAAAAAACCTCCCGACTGCGAGGGTCTCTGTGCAGAAGGTCTAAGCAACAACTAAATTTCTCAACAACTGTTAACTATTACATAAATGCAAAACATTCCTAAGAATGTATAATTTATACGGAAGCAGACCACATCCCAGACGTGCCAACCCCCAAAAGGCAAAAAATGTGAGATTCTGAACCTAGAGCTAAGAAAAGTAGTGAGAAATGGGTAAAAAGTCGTGAGATGTCCCAAATTTCCAAGTGGAAGGACTTCCAGCAGGGATTATGGGTATTGGAAGTCACTGTATCACTTTAAGCTGTAGCAGTATAAACGGAAATTATATTCAGATTTTTTGTACAGCATCTCTCTGCGTGACTTGATTCTCTGTTTACGGCTCGGTCTAGGAAGTCAGACTTGGCCAGTCTCACGACTCACGATTTTAGGACCTATGTCACGCTCTCACGAGTTGACACTGGCTGATTTCTCTAAACCATTTTGGAGCTGTAGGGTTCGTTTCCAAGTTAGATATCGATTAGATAGCCAGCTCAATCCGAAAAAAACGCTTCGCGGCCGCGTTTGATTACATTCTTCATTCTTCATTCATTGATTACATTCTTTTAGCCCAACTACCGCGACTCGCTGCTGCTTCTTGTCTCAAGATGGCACCAACAAAACATCGAAATTACAAAACCTCAATCGTAAAATTGATTGTGATGTCTGACAGCTCCCTATCTTGCCTACTTTGCCAAAAGGAGTCGGAAGGTCCATTAACACCGTTTAGAGCAATTTAATAATGTCAATTTGTAGAATGACTTTTATTTTCCCTTTCAGACCAATTTGGTTCAACCAACTAAGAAGTCCAACGAAAAAAAACAAAACAAAACAAAACAGAAGCAAGCACTTTGACCATACAAGGCGGGTAGGAAAAAGAAGATGTTTTTTCCCAAATAAAATATGTTGACAAGATTCAATCAAGGGTGTTTGTACTGCTAATCTTCGATGCTACGATTGCATTACAAATTAAACCAAACTTCCCCTTTCACTTTGGATCAGATGCAAATTTTTCAACTTTCCTCTTCAGTTTCGATTTCTTTTGCTGATACTCAGTTCTTTTCAAAATCCGCTTTAATGAGAGACAATTAAATTCACAAACCTCTCAAGTTTTCTGAATTCTCAACACAAGACGTCAAAGTTAGGAACCACATACATACAAGAGAAATGCAACTATAAAGCGTGTCCGACTACTGCTAGCTGCTGCCATGCAATTTGCATTTGCGAAACTGGTGGTGTAACACCGAGAGAAACTACCTATACATTCTCGTCAACAGGGATTATAAATGAAGTAAAATAAACAGTTTCGACAAAAGGTCGTTTAGGCTCATGAAGGACCAGAAGAAGAGGCCAATGAGAACGACTGAGAAACGAACTTCTCCAAACACGAATTAATCACTTATCTGGATATTTGATAAAGCACAAAACAACGTGGAGATTTCATGTGCTAGGGTACTGGCCAACAGTAGCTATTTAAAGGTTTACAAATGATTGATAAACTGAGAAGTATTTTGAGTTGCTTTTATCAGCCTTTATTATCATTATACCTCTTTACTTAGGAGAAACTACACCATCCTATGATAGCTTATGATCGGAACCTGCAAATATTCTAAGACATCAACATTCTCGTTCAACTCACCTTTTCTAAGTGAAAGACTATTCGTCGCTTATATGAATTATTAGGCTTCAAGGTCCTTTAGGATATAAATCAATTCACCGGGCGCTTGTCAGACCAGTGGAAGGTTTGTATTTCTCTGCATTCCTGAAACAAACATAGCAATATACAATGTTAGTGTTAGAGACGAGATGATCAGTCTAGACAGACGGTACAGTCACGCGAATTCAATAATTGTCAAATACCTGGGCAAAAAGATGCCTCTTGTGGAAGAAAAGGCACTAAATGAATGAATCCACGCGCATCAACTAAGGCGAGGTTCCCAGCGCCAGTTTAATTTCCTCAGACGCAACTGCATGGTTCTAAAAACAATGGGGCGTATCATCGCAAAAAGATTTCGAGTTTGGAGATGCCATCAATCAAACGCGACGTGGCGTGACCAAAGTTAAATTTAGACACGCGATAACGAAAGCCAAACTATGCTAGGATCACGGGATGCATCTAACATGATATTGTGAATTGCAAATGTCGAGCCATATGAATTTATCATTGAAATTAAATTCCAGACGGGTGTGTTACTAGCGGAATTTGTGAATACATGCAATCGGATGCGTTCCTGTGGTGGTGTAGGTACGTAATTTTGGAATAATACCCCGTTAGGATTTCTATTCTGTCAATTAAAAAGAAAGAAAGGCTACTCCATTTCCTCGAACTCTCGACCAGACCCATCAGGGTAGCTAAGGCCCGTTTCAAACGTTGTGCTACTGCCGCGCCGAACTCAATTGATCGAATCAAATTCGACTTGAGCACGGCAGTAGCGCGACGTTTGAAACCAAGTCGTGCTACTGCCGTGCTACACGGCGGTAGCTCGACTTGTTTTCAAACGTCGTGCTACCGCCGTGCCGAACTCAATTCATTAATTACAATGCATTAGAATACATTTAATAGTTTGCTGAACCGTTTCTTTATTATTGTTTTGTTTTCGGCAAGAGCCGTTCTATTCGACTGAATTATATTCGACGTCTGAAATCAAGTCGTGCTAGTGTAGTGCTGCAGTGGAGCTACAGTGGAGCTAGCTTAGCACGGCAGTAGCACGACATTTGAAACAGGCCTAAAAGTTTCAGGGGGACGGAAATGGCACGTAAAACTTGTCCACTAAAGTTCCCGACAATATCCAAAGAGATATTGTAAGCAGTTTCTAGACTTTTTAGAACAACTGAAACCAAGAATGCCTCTACAGAGAAAACCATCTGAGACACTCTTTACGTGTTTGGAAACATTCGCTCGTTGGCTGCCCCTGAAGAGAGGACCAGAACTGATTATCTGCTAAAACAGTGGAGATTCCTTCAAGAAATAGATTCCGATTTTTTTTTGTTTTGTACTATTACAAGATGTTTCTACTACATTACAATGTATTACAAAAAAAGGTCAAAAAGCAAAAAGGAAGAACGACAAATTACATAACTGGTAAAGAGTGACCAAATTAGCTTTGGCTTTCGACTTAACTTGGTCACTGCCTTGGGCGTAGACATTCACATAAACCTACATGTAATGGAGAATAAACAACATGGCAGTTTTACTCACAATTCTATATAAAAAACCATAGACAGTGATAGACAATAGGAATAATTATTAATAGTTTGGCACTGCCAGAGAAATCAAATCACTTCCTTGTCTTGAAGTCTCGTACGATACTCGGTAAAAATTCTTCTTTCCATAATTTTCTCAAATCATTGACTCTGGGTTACCTCAAATCGTCTGATACGAGGTAAAATAATTCTTCTTTCCATAATTTTCTCAAATCATTCGCAAAAAGTTGACTTTCAATTGGCAAATCACTTAAATCACTCTAAACACCCAGGTTTAATTGCATGTTTCAACTTTGAAACGAACATGCAAGCAGATCTTTATACACGCGGCCACCACTAACGCACAGCCAACATGACAAAATGACACTCTTTTCACTTTTATTTGCAGTTGCCATTGTTAGTTACTACAAAACAAAAAGAAATATTTACCTACAGCCACTTCCTGAAAACCAACAAAAAACAAAACAGGTATGTTCACTTGAACTTCTTTAATTTTGTAAGCCACTGTATGTGTAAAAGCATCAACCAATAATAAATCTGTATGGTGCCAAATTACAGTTAACAGCAGTTTTGACTTTGAAATCACCAAGTAGATCATCACCCATAAGCCCCTATTACATCTCCTTTAGACAAAAGAATATTTAACTGCAGGCTTAACTGTAACAGCAGCTGTAAGTTACTGTTTTAGTTGCAGCAAAATGTTTTACCCATAAGTAAATGATTAATAAATTTATTGTGGACATTTTTTCTGCAATTATAGGAATTAAGACCTCTGCATAAAAACGAGTTCTAGTACAGGGCATACACTGTATATGTAGCCTGATTTTAATGTGAATTTTAAAATCTCCTTCAGCATTTCAGTGCACGAGTTAAAGTGGAGGTCCCCTAGGGCCAATGAATTAATGAGCAGACTCCAAAGAAGAATCGATCAGTCAAGAGAAGAGGAAGTGCGACCACATGTGCCAAGAGTCAAGGGACCTCTCTCAGAAGGTGGAAAAGCATGCAGAAGAGGTTAATCTGAACACAACTCAGAGCCGGAGGAGAAAGAGGAGGTGCAGACAGAAATTCCTGTGGCATCACCACCCAGGAGGAGGAAAAGATACCATCATTTTGGAAGTGATGAGTCTGAAACTGATTAACTCTTTCATTCTTACAGGCTTCTTAGGGCTATTTTTTAATCAGTTTATTCTGTAACATACTGAGAATAGTATTGCTTGATAAATTTTCTTCCTCTTTATTTCTTTCGAGGTTAGGATTTCATCTTAAATTTATAAATAGAAACAATGAATTATTTCTACTGCAGCAGTATTGCTCACATATGAATAGCAATATTATTACTATATAAACAAACTTTTGAAGTAACATTGATTTTTTTTTATGTTGGAATGAAAAGGTTTATCCTAAGTAAGTGCATGTATTTATAAACTAAAGCTCATTTGCTAAGCAATGATTACTATTTAGTCTGGAGCTTTCTTGGATGGTTTTTTCCTTTTAAGGTTGGTGAAAGAGACAATATCATCTCTTTTTGTAATTATCCAGGGGGAAACTTTTAATCAATGGCAAATGAAAAACCAGGACAATTTTAAACGGCGTTTCTTACAATTAGTTAATACTGTATAACTAACTAAATTGTTAATTTTCATTAAATAAAGTTTTGTTGGCTGATAGTTACAATGTCTTCCTTCACTGAACTGCACGAGACAAAAAGTAGTCCACGGAGACGTTCTTCGGGCTTCGTCATGCGTTCCTTCCCCAAGGAGCGCGAGGCGAAGCGCTAAAAACGTCTGCTATAGAGGCTAGACAAAAAGGACACTCCTGTTCCCCGCGTAGATAGATCTAAGTATAGATCCCATGTGACGGTGAATCCTTTAAGACCAAAGCATCCGAACGTCTCAAAAGCGTAATCAACGAGATAAGCATTTCTTCTCATATTCTTGAACGCGAAGAGTGTTCGTAGTTGTTCGAGTTTGAATACCGCAGAATACCAACGTTATGCAAAGTCATGGGTTCGCAAACGCGGCGAACACTTGAGATGTGCGTTAGTATTCGGGCGTGTTCGCGTCTATGATCGTCGTCACTGTCGTGTTCGCGTCAATGATCATCATTGTTCCAAGCTGGCCAATATTGATCTTTTTAGAAAAGGAGTCGGAAGTATGCCGTTTAGAATGCTTCATAGTATTCGAAGGTATTCTATTTGAATTCGGAAAAACCGTCCGGATTCTAAGTAGAATATTCGAGGTGTACGTCGCGTCATGCGTCAGGATATTATCGTACACTCCACGTGTGCCAATCCGTATTCGGGCAAATTCGGTCGCGAATATGTGCCTTTTTGCGCAGTGTTAATTGTTATACTCAAATTTATTTTTTACACAGTCTAACGTCCTCTAACGGCCTCTTTCGGCAACAGCCGGTTTTTCTTGTCCCGGCGGTGGACCAGTCCATTCATTCTGTTCATGCACTCCATGCCGCATTCTTGTTTTTACCTCTCAAAGACAGTCACCCACCTTTGGCTCCAGGGCGACCGTTGAAAAGAGGCAAGTTCTTCAGGCACTGGCTTTCAAAGCGCATTAAAACGCCCTTGAGTTACTCAAGTTCAAATGTAGCATTCCACTATGCATTCATTGGGACATGGAATAAACATTTAGTTGGTTAGGTACCCGAGGGTATCTAATACGATCCTCCGATCCCATGACACCATCCTTAATTTTCGCTGAATCCCGCAATTGTGATGATTTTTTTCGGCAAGCAGTATCCAATGTACTCCCGAATCTGGCCTCCATTTTGCTTTAATATCCCGAATCCCAACGTTCAAGTAAGGCAAATCCTGCATCCGGAAAAAACCGGCTAAAGGGGACCCTCTTAACCGTCCGGCTCTCTTTCGCTCTTAAGGGACAAGCTGGAGAGGGGAGGTCATCGCTTTCCATTCTTGCCTTTACCCTTCTACTTCTTGTTTCTTTGATATTTATTTTTTACTGTTAAAACGGCAGAGGATCATTGTTGTCTCCCCAGTAAGAAACTTGCTTTATTCCTTCTGCAGGGCTACGAACTGTGATCAAGGAATCCATTCTGCCATCATGCAAACCCCGCCTAAAAAGAAAACGTAAGTATCATTACCTTTAACCAATCACCCGGGGACGTATATCTGTCATATATAATAAGGCCTGGGTCATAGTGTGGTAGATTTTCAGGTTATTTACATTAAGTCGAATAATAGTTAGGGAACGAATCGAGCACTCCGCTCTTCAAGCAATGTGTGATGCCGAGTAGGACTAGCTCTAGCGCTCTTCCCACGCTTCCGGTGTGTTCGAAGGCGGGTAAAATTTGTCTTTTCTACAAACCGGAAATCCTATTTTCTTTCTGCAATTTCAGCCAACAGTGAGGACCCTGTAAACTAGTTTGATAATAGTATTAACACACAGTTTTATATGTTCACGTCTGCACCCAAGAAAGTCAAACTTGTCAGTCATAAATGCCTGAAGTTGAGTTCAATGCTCCATCCTGCCTTAAGCTTTATCCTCCCTGATTTATCGATGTATTTTTCGCGCCAAAATATTCTGAACCAATCAGAGCAGAGCAATGGCAAGTGCGAACCTTGGAAAACGATGTAAAAGCCAAAGGAACTGACTCTGCCTTGGAGGTCAACTGCCATGTTGGATTGTGCAACAAAGCCAAAATCGTGCAATAAGAAATCTAAAAACAGACTAAAAGACCGTTACGAAGCAGCAACACTTATAAGTATCCGATAGTTATGGTCATTTAGTTCATGTTGAGCTGACACACCATATCCTCTCCCTTGTAGCCATCAATAATATCTATAATATCTTCTGCTTTGACATCAATTCCCCCAGTCCTACCCACTTAGTTCCTTTTGAGCTGACACACCATATCCTCCCCCTTTGTAGCCATCAATAATATCTATAATATCTTCTGCTTCGACATCAATTCCCCCAGTCCTACCCACTTAGTTCATGTTGAGCTGACAAACCATATCCTCCCCCTTTGTAGCCATCAATAATATCTATAGTATCCTCTGCTCTGACGTCAATTCCCCCACTGCTAAAGTCTTCATTGATTTTATTGTAAAAAAAAGGTGCACTGTCAGACACATTAACTGCATGGCATCTAGAAAGTTAAAGAAAAGGAAAAATTTTTCTTAGCTTCCATTTTTTAACAAATAGTGGGGCGGATATGTGCAGATTTGGGGTCGGATTGTTCACTTTTTGTCAAAAGCACCAAATTTTCAGGAATGACAGAACTAATTATGACTATTTATATGTGATATGGTGCCATCGCAAATTTTTCCTGTTAAACTGGTTTTTGGAGTGAAAATTAAACTGACCGCCATTTTGACCGGAAGTAAATATCATCTAACCTAAAGTACAAAAAATTAAGCATTTTTTAAAGCCAAAATGACGATGAAATTGTTTATCATATAAGCTAATCGTGGCTATTAATATGTGATATGGTGCCATCGCAAATTTTTCCTGTTAAACCGGTTTTTGGAGTTAAAAGCGGGATAAAATGGAAAATGCAACTCATTCAAAGCAATTCATTTAAGTAGTGAATTTCGAAAAAAATGTGAAACAATGATTCACATCTTTAAGCATATACGAACAAATTAAACTAGCAAAAAACAGATTATTTCTTTTTACTTGTTTTAACCCTTTAAGTCCGGCTAACAGTGACTAACATCAATTTTCTCCCGACCATATCCATACAATGTCAAGAGATTAGGTTTTTAGAAATTAATAAAAATCACCTAAGAGAAAATGCTCTGATCTTTTATCAAATTCTCTCAACTTATCCTTTTAAAGAAATACATAGAGACCAGTTTGAAGAATTTGTATGTGGATATTGGGGCTTAAAGGTTAAAAGAGTTGATCCACTATTAACTAGAATGCAAAATGCTTTGCGGCTTCAAAGTAATTTGAGGTATAATAGCTCCACCATTTTGTGTTATTGAGGAGTATAAATAACACTCTGTGCATGTACATATTGGATTGAAATTGCTTTCACGATAACGTCTGCTCATTTCAAAGTTTACCATTTTCAAAAAGTTTCCGGGAAATCCGTTTTGGAAGGTAAAGGGTCCCCTACTCAACCTACTCTTTACAAACAGTGTCTTCAGTTGGTTCTTTAACTTCCCACAGCATTTCAAGATATGAACCGGCAAGAACTATGAGACGGGGCTTACCGTTTTTTTTTATCCCAAGAAGACTAGAAAGACTAACCGTTTGCAGATGACCGTAAAAAGGCAGTACTTCTCGTCAGTTACTTAAAGATCCTGATCCAGAGTTAGTCCGACTGGGGTCTGAAACCCCGGCTTCTGGCTCAGTGGACCGGTGCTTATCCACCTGGCCCCGGTTGCTTAAACGTTGGATAGCGCTATCCACCGGATAAAAGTCTGTCCAGTGGATAACGCAATTGGTTTCCCTAATACTTATCCGCTGGATAGTGATTTATCCTGTGGATAGCGCTATCCAAGTTTGAACGACCAGGGCCTGGAGCTAACCGGGCGGCGGTTTAATTCATCTGTATTTCACTATCAAGTGAATCTGCGCCTCTCTCGACAGAAATGAGAGTTAGTCACTTCTTTTCACTGTAATCACCCCCAGAATGTCATTTCGTTATCATGGACTGAGTAGCACTGATTATCATGTTAAAGTCCACATGCAAGAAAATAAGGAAAAAGCGTTGTCCGAATATGCATCACTTACGTTAATCCCCTGAGCATGTAAAACGTACGTATTCTCTTGGATATAGTATGTGACAAATATGTCGCACCGAGAACAGCTTGAAGGCTAAGATCTGGGGTAAACGTGTATCGGGAGCTATACTAAGAAACTGGAAAAAGTTAGTTCTTATGTAAAGATCGAAATAAGCAGGTGTTTTGAGCAACGCACGTCGTCTAGGGACAGATGTCCAGTCTTTCCCCTGCATCGTTTGAAGTCAATTCGCTAGAAAACATTTATCGTCATGCTATATCACAAAGCATATTCCCTTCTTTTAAGGTATAATATATAAAAATATAAGTTGAGTCTCTCCAAAGACATTTTCGTTAAGTCCACTCTCCGTTCTAACTACCCATGAAGCTTCTATACCATGAAGCCAAGTTAGCTTCCTTATCATATATCTTGGTGCTGAGGTACATCTACGCTACCAAGCAGCCTCCATTCCATGAATTCACAGGATGTGACACGGTAAATACTTCTTGTCACCTCAGTCCAGAAATAATCGGAGTGGTTTTCGCTTACATTTTCTTCTATACCTGTTATTCTTCGATATTCTGTATCATAGCCAAAGTAGGCTCAAGTTTAATAATTGACTATACACGATGAAAATAGCAAATTGAGTGTATACATTAGATTTAAACAAAATATTGAAGTAAAGAAAACCAGCACTGCAGGCACAACAGAAGTTTAATCTGATTCCTTAAAAGTTCCGACTCTGGTAGTTTTACTTCCCGTCTGGCTGGCGATCACTTATATCTTCTCTGTTCTATTTTTTTTTTTAGACACTGCGTTGAAATAATATCTCTTTGTATGAAAAAACAGCTGCCTTAGGCATTTGCTGACATTTTCTTATCCAAGTTGCTAAAATTCAGATGTTTAAAAGAAAATTTTAATTTCACTTCCGATTCAAAATGGCCGCCATTTTAAAAACTCTTATTTTTTGCACTTAACGGAATTTTCGTCGATGGCACCATATCCTATCTTTTTTAGGGCCTTGAAAACTATCATCATGCCAAATTTCATGCTTTTAACAGAAAGTGAACAATTCAAGCACATATCTGCTCTACTAAAAGTTATATACGGGAAGGCTTTGTCCAAAGGTCCAATCCAATTTACATAAAAATTATATACCTGATTTTTGACAGAAAAAAATTTAAACTGGAGCCTTACTTGAGTTTTGAGCCAGTCAAGTAATTGCCAGCGGCAATTACTGATGCTGTTCCTCCACTGCCGACAGTAACTACAAGAGTCATCATAATCTTCCAACACATTCTTAATAAAATATGAAAAACATACAAACAATGAGTTAAACCTAGTAAGATCTAACAAATTTACAACTACTTTAAAAAATAAACCTTTATAAAAAATAATCTAAAAAAATAATGTACGGTCTGGATTGATCATCCCTTTTAATATATTATTCCCACAAAAAAACAGTGCACACTTTACTAATTTAGTAGATCCCTATAGTACTAGCCTCACTAGCACCTTCTTAATAAAAAAGGTACCTGTATTTCACAGAAAAGATGAGAAGTAGCATTTAGCACTTGCTATAAATTAACCACCCATGTTTGCTAATTATACACTGCATGGTGTACAGTAACTCCTTCTGCTGTGAGGTGATAATTTTATTTTTCACTTCAAAGCGCCATTTGCATTGCAATTTTTTTTAAATCCTTAAAATTAATAAAATTTTGCTCTTAAATTCATCTCAAGTCATTACTAAATATAACCGAAATTCTGCTATACAAAGCAACAAGGTGGACCAGAGAGGAACTTTAACATCGTTGTTTCAGCCAGGGGTTTCTGGAATCTTTTCTTCTGAATTTTTCCTGAAAACTGTAAAATTTCCCTGACCCACTGAATTAACAATTGCATATATTAGTCCTGATAATTCATAATGGACTCAGTGCTCCCCTCACAGCCTGATCCCCTCCAGCCATTTATTAATTTATGCTTGCAGCAAGACACATGCAGTGTACATGAATTGATACAGTGTAGCTCCTTAACAATAACGTGCAAAAAGGATCGACTTTTTTAAAAAGCCCACTATCAGCTTGTTGTTCAATTTCATGAACAATATGATGATTATATGTCCATAAAACTTCCCCTGACTTGAAGTGAAATTCCCTGACTTTTCCCTGACCTTGAAGAAATTTTTTTCCCCGAACATTTCCTGCCCTGCGGCAACCATGTTTGACATTTAAGATGTTTCCTGGAAAAAATTTCTGTCACAAGAATTCTGATCAGTGCTACAATGTACATGTAGATTTGCTTTTCAAATTACTGTTTGTTTTGTTTGCTTGAAAAATGAAGGGAGAAAATTAAAAATAATATTGAGAGGAAAAGTCACTTAGGACCCAAGAAACCATTTTTTGAATACGGTGTAGCTATATGGAACATGAACTTTAGGCAAAATTAAATTAAATTTCAACCTTCTTCACTCAATTTCCTTAATGCCTCCTATTATTAGCTCAGTTCATGAATAAATACATTTT